CCGCCGGCTGCGGCGGTCGCGGTGCCGGTCGCGGTCGGCGGCGCCGCGCTGCTTGCGGCGGCCGCGGGGCTGTTCGTATGGAGGTGCGTTCCCTCGGGCGCCTCGGCCCCGGCCGCGTGCGCGCCCGGGGACGGGGGAGGGGCGAGTGCGTGTAGCGCTGTTTGCGCGTCGCGCTTTTCGCTCTTCCATCCAGCATTCAGAACCTGGGCTTGCCATGTGCTGCCTTGTGAGGGGCGCGCCGCGCGGTCAACTCGCGGCCAAGCAAGTGCTCAAAAGTGGGTTCTCGGCGCATTTGTGTTGTCCCGTCCCCGTCCCCGCGCCTCGCAGGCGCAAGCAGCGGAGGGCGGCCACTGCGGCCGGCAGCGCCTATGAGGACGATGACGTGACGGTCGTCAAGGTGCGGCGGGGCTTGAAATTTGAATTTTGAATTTTGCCGGGAACTCATGCAATCACGTCACCTTGGATTAATTCTGATTTTCTTGGTGGCCCCTCCACTCCCTGCGCCCCTTCCCGCACTGCCCCCTCCTTACGCAACCCACCTGAATCCCCCCGGCCCCTACCCAGGTTGGCCCCGGCGGCAAGCCCGCTCACAGCGGCAGCTCAGGCCAGGGCGGCGGCGCGCGGCGGCTGCCGTCGACGGCTTACGAGGAGCGGGTGATGGTGTCCCGCGGCAGCGAGCCGGGCAGCGCGACCGGGCGCTCAAACCAGAGCGGGCCGTCGGCCGAGATCCAGGCGGCTTGCAGGTGGGGGGAAGACGCGCGGGCGCCTTTTTCGCGCACACGCTTGCAAAACTCTTTGTGCCAGAGGCTTGGCTGGTTGCTGGCCTTGCAAATGAACACGTTGCTCCTCATGCTGCTTGTTGGGTGAGGCGTGTTGGGTTTGGGAGGGGTCGCCGGCGGGGGCGAGGGTGATGGCATGGGGAGTGTTTGGGCGATAGGCGATAAGGTAGGGGCTGCGCATGTGTCGTCTCACAGAATGCCCTTGTCACGTCACCCCCACGCCCGACACACACGCGCATCCTCATCCCACTCATCATGGTGGATGCACAGACATGAACACCCACATAAACACACATGCACATACCACACAACACGCACACCGACACATGTATCACACGGTACAGACGCACACATTTTGCATGCAAGCAACACACACACAGCACACACACACACACACACACACACAAAAACACAAATGCACACAATTGCGTGTAGGTACGTGTACGGACTCACATTCTCATCCACCCCTACCCTCAGTGGCCCCTAGACACACAAACGCACACATACACAACCGAAAAAGGGGTGTGTATGTGTCCACAAGCACACATACACATCCCAACGCACATACACTCACATCCCAATGCGCACACACACACACACACACACACACACACACACACACACGCCGCAGGAACCTCGTTGCCGCGCGCCCCTCCGGCGATGAGGACGAGATGCAGCTCACCTCAGTCCTGGGGGAGGGCTCTTACGGCAAGGTGCGCGCAGTCCGCAGTCCGGACAGGTCCAGTCCACGTGCGGCTGGTGCAGTCCACACACTCAATGCAGAAATCCGGGCCGCGGACGCTCAGCAGGCCGGGCGTGTGCACATGGTTGGCAGCGCACGCTCTTGGTCCGCGGCTCTGGCACGGCCAGGCAGCGTCGCCAATGCCGTCCAGTAAAGGCGGCAACCGGCCACGCCGCGGCTGTCAGGCGGCATGTGCACGTGACGCCCGCCGTTTTTCAACCCTCAACACTGAAATCTGACCCGCCCTGCGGGCAGCAGGGCGTAGACAGCCCTCGTCGGTAACTTCCTTCCACCTTCGCCCCTGGCTTGAGCACCCCAGCCTGCGCATGAATCTCCTGCTGCCAGCCGCGACGCAACCCCCCTCCCCCACCCCTCACCCCCCCTCCCGAAGGTGTATAAG